GCCATATGGATTATTTATTTTTATTTAGAGGTTTTATTATACATATGTATATGTATTTTACAATCCCTGGGGCTGCTTTTCTGAAAGCTCATATCGCAGTTTAAAGTGCAAAGCAGTGCATATTTCGTAACAGGCAAATGTATTTATTTGCGGTTTGTTGTTGTTGGTTTTATTGCTGCTATTTTTACTGGTTCTGGTTAATATTTTCTGAGAAAATTTGACGCGTACGTGTGACATATTTTTTCTGGAGGCGCCGCCGATAAGGCGCTCAGACGACAACAGTCACAACAATCCGCGACAACAATCCCACAGATACAGATACCGATACAAGGCACTGGCCCCGGCACTGGCACCGGCACCGGCCCTGGTGCTGGCACTGCCAGTTGTCAACGCTTCTGTTGTTGTTGTTGTTGTTGCCTTTGATGTGGGTATATAGTTAGTATACTCGGTATATTCGTGGTTGGCATTCAAGCGCCGCCTGTTGAAATTGCGAGTACCCCAGCCCCCCTCCCGATACTAACTTGTCCGTTCAATCACAAAATACACGTCCGTCTTTGTTGTAAATAATTACGATGAAGTCGCATAAAACGCAAATTGTGACTAATAAAATGACGACAACAACGACAACGACGACGACGACGACGTCAAGTGGAAGGTACATATTTGAGCTTAACTGGGAATTTTGCGTGGGGATTCCGGGTCAGAGTCGATAAGTCGCAATCGATCCGTATGATTTATGTATATTTATTACAAGAAAAAAAGCACCATGGAAATGGGAAAACAATGAGCTTGAAGCAGGGTCATCAGCCAGCAACGACCACGCGCGTCCTGTCCCATAATTAAGTTGGCTCAACCTCAATCTAAATACAAGTGGCCCCCAGTACAGCAACCGGTCGGACGGTCATATCAGTTGCTTGGGCTGCTTTAATTGCCACAGCAAAAGAACTGAAACTGGAAAGGGCCGGGTGGCAGGCAGGCAGTCAGGCAGGCAGGGCCTGAGCTGAATGTCGTATCAAAATGTGCAGTTTGTGTTTATTCAGCGTAAAATGAAATTATCATCGTCATATTCAATTATCCTTCGAGTGCATGATGAAGAGCCCGCCGTCCGCCATCCGCCAGCCTGCTTGCCACGTTCGTTGACCCGCTTCATCCCTGTGGGCGCGTTGTGAAGGACGCGGGCACACACAAACAAGCATCTGTCTATCCGTATAAGCCATACGTATAGTATATTACTCACAAAAGGATTGTGCATGGACTGTGCCGTAGGCGTGTTGAACTGCTGTTTGTGGATTGGGGCCGCTCATGCGGATAAACTGACCAAATTGAAATTGCATTCAAATTCAACTGCAACATTTCAAATTGTCCGCAGTGCCTGCAAATTACCAATTGACAAACAACACACTCACCAACACACACACACACACATTTTGCTTTCAAACTGTTTGTTTGGCTGAAACTGAACTTTCAATTAAAACTGCAATTTGTTTGCATATATTTCTTCATATTCACAAATATGTTTTAAGTGCCTCTACTAAAAATGTCATCAAATTGTTGGCTTGTGCTCTCTCTTTAAACTGATCCCTTTGTCTCTCTCTCTCTCTCAGTCTTTTCTATTATTGGCTGCGTCTCTATTTATTTTATTTTTCTACCTCTTCCATGTCTCGTCTTAATCTAACGGTCGTTATTTGACTCTAGCTCTTACTCACTCGCTGCTAAATATCGCCTTTCTATGCGATTTTCATGATCTCAAGCAAGGCTTACTGATTTTTATGATATTTTAAAATAAAATAAAATGGTTACAGACACTGCACTCGCAACGAACGCCCATTTATAAAGTATGACTGTTAACATATATATATGAAATGGGATATTTAAGCTGTGTTAATGTCAAAACAAAGCTATAAAAACTATAAAAGTGCAGTCTATAAACACAGTCGAGCTGTAGCGCAGTTATGGCCCATATTCGCATCTCATATATGTACTTCCTCATCTCTAACAGCCAGCTCCAATTTCATGTTGATGTCGCCCGCGCTGGGACGCGCCTCGTTTCAGTGAGGTGGTAAAAGCAAATTTAAAAATTATACGCGCAATGATTTTTATTGCATTTGATGAACATTTAATTTTGATTTAAATTTTAATGAGATTTACTGCCTGAGCTGCGTTTTTATTTGATTTTTTTTGTTTTGGTTTTTTGCCTCCCTTGTTTGGGCCTGTCAGACTGAATTTGACTGCGATTGATATTATTGGTATTGGTATTTGGCCGGGGGCTACGTGATAATCGCCGATTACTGACATTATTGTGGCCACCCACAGACAGTGAAGCGGCAGCTTCGCCGATGGCGAAATTATCGTAAAACATAAACAACAACAACATTAACAATAACAATAATAATAATAACAATGCCTAATAAAAGTTGCCGAGCAGCGATGTAAATAAATAAATAAATTGCGGCGAAATAAAATAAAATAAAATAAGAAATGTATTCGTGACACGCCGAACCTTGAACACCCTTTTACATGTACGGGCTTAAAATGGTTTATAGTTTCTGAGAATCGCATAGAAAGGTGATTGAGACCAGCGTTGCTGAGTGGAAATAAAAGAAATATTGTAAGTTAGAGAGAATGAGGGAGAGAGAGAGGGTGGGAGAAAGAGAGGGAGAAAGAGACAGAGAAAGAGAGGGTGAAAGAGGGGGGGGGGGGGGGGAAAGAAAGAGACGGCTATCATACAAGAATTATTGACTCGTCTCGTTCCATGCGTTACACACTGCATGCCAAAATCTTTATACTCTCCACAAGGGTAAATTTAAATAAAATAATGTGATCAAAGTGAGCGAGCAGGGCCATTGGATGTTGGTAATTCAATGTGAAACATTGGCAGCTGCATTTGGCCAAATTGGCATGTGGCTTATTTATTTATTTGTTTAAATTTTAATGATTGCCACCGATAGCAACAACAGCAACAATTGTTGCAGCCAGTCGCTGCGCCATGCAAATAAACAAATTAACTCGAAATATCATTGGATTATATGTATGTATATATATATAATTCGCACACACGTGTGTGTGTGCGCATTTGTATTTGGCTGTATCTGTGTCTATGATTGTTTAATGTAATTGTTTTGTTTACCTTTATTGCTGTTGTTCTCCAATGCAATTTAGACAATGATGCAGCTATAGTAGCTGTGTGCAGCAGCTGCACTAACTCAATTATTTTAATTAAACTTGATGACTGACTAACTGATCATCGATTAGTCGGAAGTGTCTTAGCCTTGCATTGTTCTTATGCCCTTTTAGAGTGGGTAGTTGTGTGCTGTCAGATACTCTGCAATGCTTTAGAATGGCCTCCCTGCATGCCACATTAAAAAGGTTTCGTTTTTAAAAACTTAAGTTGTTAGTATAGAATGGATATTTATAACGGTTTCAATCAAATTTATTTAAATTAGCATCTCATAAGAACTATAGAAAATAAATATGTTTTGTTTCAAGAAAACATTCTAAAGAGTTATTTTTCAAATGGATACTGTTTTTACGCTTTGATACGCAAACTTAGTTACAAATCATAGCCAAAATGTCATGAAATATAAAATTTAGTTTAGTTTTGACCAAGCTATGGAATTCTGATGTATAGGAAGGGAATTTGCTATTCTTTTTTCTGCCTGTTACATACATTTGGATTTTGCACAAATACAATATACCCTTATACCCATTTTTAATGGGTTCAGGGTATAACAAAAACATTATTTTCCGTAAACGAATAAGGTGGAAGTATATGATACTTTTCTTAAAGAGTACAAAATAATCAAATTCAAATATGAATAAGACATATTCATTTCTTCATTCATTCATTATTATAACTATATTAATTATTATTTTAATTCTTCATCAATTCATTAAACCAAAGTTTTAGCAAGCTTTTTACGTATGAAAGTTCGGGTGACTTTATTCCAATGTCTCTGTTACAGCTCTCAGAGGCAAACAATATTAATAGGAAAAACTTACATAATTATGCAATCTTTAAAGATTTAGTTAAAGATGAAAGTACACACTCTTGCCAAGGGTATTCAAATGTGGGCAGCGCGCATTTGCTATAGTATTGTGTGTACCTTTATCTCTAGACTGTTGCTAAGCGAAACGTATTTCGATTTGTTTCTATTTGATTTGATGTTTTAGCAATGTTGCATAATAACAATAAGAGAACAACATCAACAACATGAGCAATGTTCACCCTTGACAGGGCCAGATATTGACTTTGGGTTTGGCTGATTGACATAGGCTATATTAATTTATAATTGGTCTCGCCAAAACATGCAAGCCGTCTAGCGGGCGCCAATTAGACGATTGTCAACCCATAATTATACTATGTGAACTCAAAGTGAAAAGGGTATATTGGCTTTAGCAAAATGCCTGTCCCGAAGTCCGACAATTGCAACCTCTATTCGTGTGCGTCCGAGTCAGATAAAGTGCTTGGACTTTTGAATTTGTTGGGCTATCTACAATATTTATAAGAGTTATCCCTTGAAAAACACGGCGTCATACATAGTAAAAATTTTATGGATCGAAGAAGTTATGCAAACTACTTTGATTACAATTAAAATCATTTGACGACGTGTTATTTCCCTACTGAAACTAGTTGAGGTAGGCTAGTTTAAAGCTCTTATCGAACAGGTATTACGCAGTCGTTGGCACTCGACTGAAACATTCTCATTTGTTTAATAAATAATAAAACGAAAATACAATACAATTAGCAACAATGTTGTGCACGAGCTAATCAAATGATGTTCACGTTTCGCGATGATATCGCGCCTGGAAATGTTATTCAATGGATTTTGAATTTAATTAGGAACAGCGATTTCGATCCGAATACTTGAATTGTGGGAGGAATGTTGTTGAGCTACCGCTAGTCAGATACGCATCTTACAAGCGCATTCTGGATGTACGGACTTTGCCTCAACCTTGGATAGTATTTGCTATATAATGCCGAACAACCTGTGCCAAAAGCTTCATAGTTGATTTCAATTGTAAGCCCGGAGTACCATGAAAGTCTGCGTCTCAGTTTTGGCTTGGGCCACCTTGGCGCTGCTCCTGGTCTGTGTCCTGCTCTGCAGTCGAGTAAATGCCAAAGCTCTAATTCCATTTAAATTTTGTGCAGTGTACAACACAGGCGCAGGAGCCAGGACCAAATAATGTTGCTGGTGCTGCTCAATCAGGCATGGCAATAGGCGCGGGCGCCGGGGCTGGAGCTGGAGCTGGCGCTGGCGGCGATGGACAAGGTGGAGACGCCGGAGCACGGGGTGGCGCCGGTGCCGGTGCGGGTCTAAGCTTTGGTGGCGGTGCTGGCGGTGGAGCACAGGGTGCAGGAGGACGCTAAATGTAGCACGGCAAGGGCGGCGGTGGCGGCATTTCCGTTTCAAATATCATTTGCTAAAGTCACAGGTAAACATTGCACTTGCGGACCTGTGTCATACGGGGCGACACGTAGCTGCGAGCCGGCATAAATTCGGTAGCACTTCAATGGAAAAACGACAACATCAAATACGCGTGTGTGGCAGCCTTAATTCCAGTTAATGCCGTTTTATGAAACGCTTCCCAAAATAATAACAAAAAAAAAGAAAATAATAATAAAATAAATAAAAGCACAAACAATCGCCGCCGCCGTCGCTGATGCCAATCGCTGCCGTCGCCGCAATCGAAATCGAAACCGAAATAGAAAATTCATCAGCCAAGTTAAAAATATCATCGAAAATTTCCACATAAATCAAGTGATCAATAAAAACCTAAACGGCCACGGAAAACACAATCATTGTGAAATATGGCGCTTGAAATGTTTTTGTTATTATTCTTTGTTGTTTTTTTTTTTTTTGCAAAATCAATCGATTGATTGTTTACACTGCGGGGGTTTTCTTTAAAAACCACCTCGCGATAAGGGTTTACGTTCTGATGCGGGTAGTTTCCACTGTGACAACTTGCTGATCAGATTGAATATGATTCTGAAAATATTTCCATAGAATTGCCTATAATTACTTGTATTACTGTGCGCTACCAGGTGTTTAATAAGGCGCTTCATTTCTTTGATGAGTTTGCTAAATTGTATAGACTTTGTTTTATTCTAATATAGCAAAACAGTGTTGAAAAAGGATGAGTTCATTGCTTATCAGTCAGAACAATTTATATATGTTAAATGGGTTCTGGAATGCGTCTGCTAATAAGTAAGCAAAGCTAGCTAGTATGCTTAATTTAAAAAAATAATGTATTCAAAACCTTTGTAGCTGAGCTGTGGAAGTGGGCAAATAGGCAATTGAACAATGAGGATCCAGCTGCCAGTGCTATTTGAAACGTGGGTAGGTGAAAAATAATAACAATACAAATTAGTAGATAATGATTATAATAATGATATTAATGAAAACATTAACAATATTTAAAATAATAAAATTGGCAATATTAATAATAACAATGATAATTATAATAATATTATTAATAATAATAATGAAAAAATATTAATAATAATCATAATAATAATAGTATTGATAATAATTATATTAATAATTAACAATAATAATAATAATAATGATAATGATAACAATAATGGTATTAATAATAAAATATATAATAAATAATAATAATAATAATAATAATAATAATAAGAATAATTATAATAATAATAATAATAAGAATAATAATAATTCAAAACATTTATTAAAATTAGTTAAAACTTATGTATTATTCGAGTTAAGCTACCATCCATTAAAATCTTAAGAAACTTTCGTTGAACTATAATTAGACAAGCTGTTCGAGTTAAGCTAACCGCATAACCACATTTTTCTCAAGAACTTCGCTAACGTATGGCTCTCCTGCTGCTTTCGCTGTTACTCATAAATAATATTTATATATTATTTTGCTCTAAATATATTAACCTTGTAAAATCAAGTCTTCGCTTTGGTCATGTAATCTGGCAGCTGTTCTTGGCTGGAGCCGTAGTCTGTCCTTGACACACGCAGCAGCCAAGTTCAGTTTTGTTTAGTTTAGATTTAGTTCCATAATCCCGAAGTCGGTTGTCCGTCAATTTGTCGTTACGTAGGGCGTCGCGTAACGTGTGCGGCGCGTGCAGACAGAGACAGGGTGAGAGAGAGGGAGTGAGAGAGAGAGAGAGAGGGAGATTGAGTGAGTCGGTGCAAAACAGGCAGGCATTAGATAAGAATATCGCCGTCAAGGTGGGCCATTGGGCGGTGGGTGCGTGTTGGGTTGATTGGTGGTGCGCGGCGTGTTGCGTACCCGTACTCGTCAGTCTCTTGGCTTTTATAACGACGACAATCGTAAAATTATGCGGCGCTGAACTTGAAACTGGTCACGTGCGAGGCGCCGATGTGGCGATATATACCTCGTAATTGCCAATTTAATCGCTGGCTCGCATTCGCTGATAAGCGAATTCGTGCAACGTCGCCTTGTCGGTGGCCATTTACCGGGAACTGAGTCCAATGTATATTTAGTTCTCTTTTTTACGCTTGCTTTGGGCTTGTTCTGTTTATGTTTATCAACATTTCGAATTGCAGCAATTGCAGCTGATATGGTCAGGTTACGCCTTGAATTCAGGTGTAAACACCAGTGCGGGCGGCCATTAAAACTGATTGACTGACAAGATTTACACCCACTGCCCAGCCGTACGTAATTGCAGCAAGTGCAACTGATTTATGTGCGGGCATTAGCATAGTTATAGAGCTGGCAACCGATATCGGGAGCGGGCACATTAGCCTCGAAGATATTCGCGACCTGTCAGTCATAAATCATTCACAAAATGCTCTGCACGTGAATACGCATAGCCGCCAGCTGATCTAATGACCCATTTTGACTTTCACACTCATCAGCTATAGCCATATACATATATGTTTGTATATATATGGCGGGTCATGCATATATCAGGCCATATGCATTGTCATTAGCTTTTGTCTAATCTTGTGTGTGAGTGTATGCCTGGCGCCCCGCTCGCCAAATGCGCATTATGAAAGCAAATTGCGTGTTGGGGCTGCGTCTGAAACTGGGGGCGGGGCACTGTGATCGGGGGCCGGGGGCGGCAGAGTGTGGGGCCGTTTGGGGTAGAAGCGAACGCATTTTGCTTTCATAATGTTGTGCCATGTTGTTCGAATAAGTCGCAATTGGTAGCCTCCAAATTATTATTGTAATTAAACTAAACAGAAGAACCATGCAAATATTGTCTATGCGGCTAATTAACGTTCAACTAATTGGCAATATAATCACTTGAATATACAAAAATAACAAAGCAAAGATGGGATAAGTTGAGATGAGAGCTCAAATTGCAGCCAGCTGACCAGCGAGGCGAATAAACAAATTGATGGAAGCCAATGAAAATATTGCAGCTATAGACATATGTTTATGTGTGGCAAATAGCTTTAATATCGATATTAAATTGACGGAGAGAACATAAACAAAAACAAAATTTAATAGAATTTGCGTTGCAAAGGAAAATATGTGGAAAATGCTATGTATTTTCCTAGGCTAACTAGTCTTTCGACATTCAATTATATATATATAATAATTTTGAAATAACAACTTTCGATCAAATATATAGTTATTATTGCATAACGCATTTATAAAGTTCTTTAAAGAGGACATACATATATAAAAAGTTCCGTCTAATTGATGAGCTCGTTCCGTTCAGCTGATATGACATGATAAAGATATGTATATATAATATTGTACTTTGTTATTACGTTTAATAACTGACTGCTACTCTAACATTAAGTCATATTACTTTTAATGACAGACTTTATCACATATAGCTGTCATGGATAATTGTCATTCAATATATTTTTTTTTTTCAAATTTTTTTTTAATTAGATCAAAGATTAGAAACTGGTTTGTTTTTGATGCGCTTGATTATTTTTATTTTTTCTTTTATTTTTCGAAAGTTGTTCAAACGATTCATTTGCAATAACTTGCAATACTTCAATACATAATAATATTCCACTTCATCGATAACCGATTCGATGTTCATTAAACGAAATGCGCCGTTAGAATTACGCATTAGATTTAGTACATTGTTAGTTATGGCGGGGGCTATTAATAAGTTAGGCTTTGGGATCGGAAATAGATCGACTATCGGCGCAGTTTTGCGCTGATTAAAATCGGTTGCATGTTGAGGTGCGATGACATTTTCATTGCGTAGTTTTTCATTTCGCAGAATTAACAAGTTGTTGCCCTCTGTTATTGTTGTTGTTGTTGTTCTTGTTGGTACGGCAAACTACGCAATTGATGAAGTGTAAATGAACGTAAACGTTGCAATCATTAAGCGACTCTGCGCTTGTCGTTGCCGCGCTCTCTCTGCCCCGGCCATATGCCATTTGTATCTGTCAGATACTTTTGCCTGATTTATGAACTGCAAGGCAGAAACAACAGCGCTGACAATTACCGTTGCCATTGCCTTGTACTGCAAAAATTTTGTTATGTTTATTAACGCCAATTGTGTTAGCAAATTGTTAAGCATAATTTTATTCTATAATTAATAAACATGATTAAATGCGTACAAATTAACAATATGTATGGGGTATTACCCGGCCTTGCCTGGTTCAAGTTTAATTCAATTAATATTCGATCCCTCCTTTTCACTTATTTTCCGCTTGACGTACCAAATCACATTTCATGGTGGATATTTGTGAAAATTAGTTGGCATTTCCACAGTTGCTCTTTGATATTTTCTCACACAAAAGGTAGAAATACAAAAATTCAGCCTCCTAGCTCTTACGGCTTGAACTCAATCAGTTAGCAAACATTTTTATTTATATAGTTAGATAATTAAATACCTTCCAGCGCACACTCTGTAGCGCCAGAATGTGCCCAAAATAATTCACAACTCAATTGCTCAGCGATAGACTTCCATTAGCTGTGCCAATCGCCCAATTGAAGTCAGCGTCCGATGCCGAGTCCGAGTACGAGTCCGTGTCCGAGTCAATCAAAGCGGCCAAGTGGATCTAATTTGAGCCAGAAATGTACGATCAATGGACACGTGTGGGGCTTCGAGATGCTGAGACGCCAATTAACATGGTGCGTACTTCAATTTGTGCAATTGACCGATTGGCCGGGCATTAAAAATAGGTTTTTCAATATTTATTTTTGGCCATCGACAGCGCAAACGTCGCGCCTTTTGCTTTGATGTTTATTTTTAGAGCCAAAGCTAAATGGCTGGACAGATTTACAAAGTTAAGTGGTTGTTTGTTGTGTTAATAATATAAACAACAGCAGCAACCGACAGCAACAGCAACAACAATTTATTGAGTTTCGAGTAGGGTCAAAACCCAGTAATGGAGACAGCGACAGAGAAAGAGACAGAGAAAGAGATAGAGCGTTGTATTGAATAGCGTATTTCGAGGAAGGGGGCCTAGATCGGTACAAGCTGAGCTTGATAATGGATTCGTTGATTGATTGCCAGATGCACGTGAACTGTCAAATAGTCAACATGAATTAGATAAATGAGGCAGCTGTGCCTTGGGGGCAAATCCAGTGTTGCCATACTTATAAAACAGACTGTTTAACTAACGCTGAGCGTGGGAATGAGTCGAAAAAAAAGTGAGAACAAAGCCAAGGAATTACTCAGTAAATCATAGCTTCATAAATGTTTGCCAATTGATAAAAAGAGGTCGATGGTTCAAATCACGGTTCAAGCTTAAGTTTCATTTTGCACATCCCTCTTTGGGTTAAATTTAAAAGATTGCAAGTTGCGCTAAGATCTATTTCTTATTATTCCGTAAGACATAACCTTTTTGTAAAGTCTATATTAAAAGCAATTTATTAAATTTAAAAAAGAGACTGAAAATGAGTACAAATGGC